TAGGTCTTAGGGGACGGCACGAAGCTGTCTTGTTTTCTGTGTTTGACGGCTTTGTCTGGATTGACGTCCGTGGAGTTGCATGGTTTGGCTTCTGGGTGTTTGCATGCCAGTTTATATAGGGGCCTTAATAATTAGAATAGGGTTTTGGGCCTGGGGGCCAATTATAGTACAATTATAATAACGAACCCGCACAAGAGTATTGAGGTAATTCTATAGGCCCCCACATTCATCGAAAACTCTGTTGAATGTGACACGGGAGTTGAAGGGCCGGAGGGTTCCACGGTAGCGGCCTTAAGACTTAGAACACGGTTTCGGTGTCTCAGAGCCCTTAAAACCCTAAACCCTTTATTTCAGGAACCCAGAGAGCCCAATACCCCTTAATTAAGGAATATACCTTAGATTATAGGGGCCTTAATATTATGATTTAAGGTAGATTCCTGAATTAGGGGGTATTGGGCTCTCTGGGAACCCTTGGGAATAGTCTCGGAGCCGAGGTTGGAGGTTTCATTCAGTCGTCTACACCGGGGTTTGGGTACGGATCCCTTTTGGAGGGGACCTCCTAAACAGTATGTTGGTTGCTGCAAGGGTTGGAGTAAGGGTTACAACAAGGGATCCATCAGGCCTACCGCAAGGCTTACTATGAGGGTCCGATTTAAGGGTGACCGTAAGTGTTACTAGAAGGTTACAACAAGAAGGCCCTTCCAAAGGCCTCCTATAGAGCGCCTGGGGCAAGATAGGTGTAATGGAGCACGAGTTAAGATACTATAGGCTTTGGTTTCAGGTCTGATAGCCTAGGATTTTACTATACGGGTTATACAGCGGGTACCAGCAGGGCAAGGTTTCTGAGCCACGGGGCTTCCACGTCGTGGTTCCCGGATAGGATAACTGCTCAGTTCAATGCCAACTTGATTCGTCTGCCGGTCCTTCCTAGCCGACATCTTCCATATCTGAGAACATCTCCCTCTCGTGCTTTTCAAGAACATAATGACATGCCCGCCTTCGCAGTCCATATTCGGATCGTACCGACAACATCAACCCCACATCATGTCTTGAATTGACCCATTGTGGCTGAGTCGTTCATCAATCAAGTCAAGACGCTTCCCTGACCTCGCGCAGACTTCCCCACCGGCAAAGTGAGAGGTGTTTGCCTCCAGCCCGGCTCAACGGCACGACGAAAAGAATCGAGCGAACGAGCTTCTCAGAGGAAACTCTCCGGGCGCATATACAGAAAGCAGCGAAGCTTCCTAAGAATGTAGGCCAAGGCGCGTGGAGCCGTCTAACATCAGCAATGTCGAACTCTACATGACATGCCTGCTGACAACATGCGCTCCATGTCCTGACCGAACCTGATGCAGCTCTGTTGAAGGTCTCACACAGATACTATTTTGGGGGTTCCTTACTATGATTATCGTATAATATAACCCGAAACCCTATTCTGCCTATTCAGGCCCCTATACCCCAAACCCTTATAGCAGCCCTTTCAGGACCCTTTATAGTAACCCTTATAGGAACCCTTTAAAGGAACCCTATTCTAAGTATGAAGGCCCCTTTTGTAGTAGTGCCCCCTATGGTTATCGTATAGTATAGCCCCAAAAACCCCTTCTACCTATTCAGGCCCCCGGCATTCTATAGCCCAAAACCCCATTCTACCTATGAAGGCCCCGGCATTCGGTTTCACCCCGTTTCACTTTGCCTCTGCCTGAGTAGCTCCTCTTCGGGAGGCTCTTCTCCGGGGCCAAGCTACATCCACAAGGGCTTTAGGGTTCCATTAAAGGGGTTAGGGTTTAGGGTTTATAGGGCTTATAGGGCTTATAGGGTTTATAGGGCTTATAGGGTTTATGGGGTTTATGGGGATTATAGGTTTCATGGGGTTTATAGGGCGTATAGGGTCTAGGGGGTTTATGGGGTCTATGGGGTTTATAGGGCTTATAGGGTCTATGGGGTTTGTAGGGTTTATAGGGAGTTTCCGAAAAGAAGGGGGTACCCTACTTTGGGGATCAATATATTAGGGTCCCCTATTTTCGGAAACCCACAAGTGGTCCTGGAAACCCTGTAGAATTGGAAGGTTTAGAGTTTTGGGGTTTAGTAAGGGTAGTGTAAAGTTTAGGGTATATCATGCCGAGACACACATGCACATACTCATACGTAATACATACATGTGTGTATAAATCCACACACACACACACGAATGCCGACGTACATACATGCATGCAGACATGCATGCATGCGAAACGCTCTATATATATATAGATATAGGTATAGATATAGGTAAGGATATAGATACATAGCAGATATAGGTATAGGTATAGATACAGGTATGTCTATGTATGTATGTATGTATGTATGTATGTATGTATGTATGTATGTGAGTATGTCTGTCTGTCTGTCTGTCTGTCTGTCTGTATGTATGTATGTATGTATGTATGTGCTGATGCATCACATAGATGTGATATGATATGATTGTGTATCTCTATATACATATACAGTAGTCCTGAAACTGCATCTGAACTCTAGTACCGGCCAGGCTACGGATCTTTTAGAATGCCACGGGTGCACCATGCTGTTTAGAATCGAGGCTTCCGGGAAGAGCATGACCCTTTGATGGCCTGCTTGCTGCAACATGCAGCAAGGACCCATGAAGACAGCGTCAAGGTAGAACCCAGGGGCTTTGCAGAGGTTTAGGGTTTAGGGGTTTAGGGGTTTAGGGTTTAGGGTTTCAGGGTTTAGTTTTTTGTTACTAAGCAGGGTCTCTAGCCGTTGAATGAAGATCAAAAAGGGGCGTTTTAGGCACGGCTCGTGCTACCAGTCTTGTCATCCTCACCACTGAGTACAGTCCGTGACACTTTGAAGGAAATACCATGGCTGGCGCTCCTGGGTTCTACGGGTTTCGGGTTCTAAGGGTTCTAAGGGCTCCAAGGCTTTAGGGTTCCCAGAGTTGTGGCTTTTGAGATTTCAGGTTAAAGGTGTAAAGCTGCGGCTTTTCTAGTTTTCTCCCGCGCTTGCCGTGGTGTGGGCTTTGACTCTAGGACATTTCAGGTGGGTAGCTACTGTTATAGGAGCCTTATAGAAGGTCTATATACCTTATACTCCCCACCTGTAGTTTCCTTTAATTGACGACCTCCTTCGAGACCTCGGTCGCGGGGGGAAAAGTCATGTAGAAGCCTGGAGACTTACCATAATATCCCCCAGAACCATACTCTACCTGGGTTTAGGGCTTAGGATCCAGAACCAGAGGGTTTAGGGTGTAGGGATAATGTCCCCCAGAACCATACTCTAACTGGGTTTAGGGCTTAGGGTTTAGGGTTTATTACTCAGGCCCCCAATTATGCTGTATAGAACCCTTGCGGTTGATGATGGAAATCCTTAGCATTACCCATAGTAAGCACTATACCATAATATTCCCGTAGTTTAGGGTCCTTAAGGTGATGCGGGATTTGTATCATCGACAGGTTCCCCAGAACCATACTCTAGTTACTAAGGCCCCTAAATATGCTACTGCTTCAGACAAACTGGTAAAGCTGCCTCCACAAGGAGCGCCTGAAGGACACCTATTCTGGTCATTAAGTCCCCTAGGCTTGCCACCAATTTCTCGGCGCCCTGGGCACAGCCGAAGCATGCCTAACGGGGTATGCATGCCTGACATAGAGATCCTGCGCAGAAGCTGTTCAAACAGAGAAGCTGTTAAAACGGGCTCGCAAACAGTTCTGTAAGGGTTACTGCAAGGTTCCTTAAGCCCTAAAGCCTGAACTTGAGAGCGTCACCTAAACGATGGGGATGCGTCTGGTTGAACCCCAAACTCCCAAACCCTAAATTGGAAGTGGAGATCGCTTTTGAAGGTGTGCGAACGTTGTCTAGCAAAACCAGTCAAAATCTAGAACTCCCTAATCAAACCACCTGTGACTTGACGGGCATTGTACATAGTAACTCTTACAGTGGCCCTTCTAGTGAATCCCTCTGGCAACCCCTTCAGTAACCCTTATGGAAGCCTTAAAGAACCCCCTTTAGCAGCCCTTGTAGAACCCTTGTAGAACCTTTTTTTCATCTTTGGCCTCTGGCTGGTGAGCGACTACGACCTAGCCGGCTTGTTGGGTGTGAAGCCGGCTCAGAGCCAGACCAGCAATCTGGGGTCGATGAACACGCCGTTTTGGAGCTTCCATGATCCATTACCCCGAAATAACTGAACCCTGAACCCTGAACCCGAGTCCCTAAATGTAGACCCCGGATGGAAAACGCCCGGCTTCGAGAAACAATAGCTATCACTCTAGAATTCCTGTGCCCGACATGGGTAACCGGTAGTGGGTGAAAGTTGCAATGGTAAGAAAAAACAAATCATGTCAAATCATACTATTGTGCATGTTTCTGCAGCATGCTTGTCGTAAAGCCAAATTCTAAGTCAAGGCCCGCGTATTTCTAAAGCCTTATTGAATCCTTTATAGACTAGAACTTTTTACAGGAACCCGTTCCGGAACTCATATAAACCCTAGACCCGGACGACACTGCAAAGCCCGGCCCACTCTTGGCTTCAAGCCGGCGGCCACAGAGGGAGACGGGCAGTTTTTCGAGCTTACGCGGTCTGAGTGGGGATCCCAGCAGCAGAAGCTGTTGTGGGTTTGGGGGGGTTTAGGCTTTAGGGTTTGGGATTTTGGGCTTTAGGGTTTTAGGGTTTTGCAGTTTTGGGTTTTGGGTCAAAAGGCTATTCTCCGGTCATATGAAGGGTTCGAAGGAGGGTAATCCAAACGGGGGTCGTGATCTCGTACATGAGGGTTGCAGATATTCGGAAACCACAGATGCCTACGGGTTTTCGTACTCCCGAGGGGCCAGCGTCGCAGTCGCGGTAGTCGCATTCTTACCATTGCTAGCCTTCTCTTCCATGACCAAACTGATGTCCGCGGGGCATAGTTGCAATTCCTAATTCCGACCGAGTACTCGAGCCACACTTCGACGGAGCAGACAAGCCACGAAAGGGTGCTCGTTGCAGGTGCTCTCGCTGTCAGCAGACCATGGTCCGCCCGCCAAAAGTTGGTGCTCACTTCGGTGGAGTTGCCCTGTAAAGCATGGTCTTGATTGGTTTAATTTAGGGCCTTGAGGGTGAACCGTGCTCAATTCTGTGGATTTGCGCTTTAAAGCATGGCTTTTTTGTTTAATTTATGGCCTTCAGGGTGTACGGTAACACCAGAACCCCCCCCCCGTCCCCCCAAACTTTTTGAAGCCCAAGGGTCAAGGTGCAGGCCTCTTCCGAGGAGGGCATTGGATCGCAGAGAAAAGCTCGTGTTTTTCTCCGAGTCTGAAAGCAAGTTCGCGTTCGTTTTCCAGTTGAAACCCTAAACCCTAAGGCCCTAAACTTTAGTTGTTTGATGCTCCGGTTGCCTCAGTTTTTTGGGGCAGGGCAGCCAATAAAATCGGTTCTGGCTGATGGAACTCTACTCCCTGGTTCTTAGTAGGGAATGGGGGAATGGATCCCTATGATAGTCCCTTAAGGTCCCCTCTAGTAGTCCCAAAAAACCATTCCTCGATTCCCTACTAAGAACCTGTCAGTCTATCCTTCAGGGTCCTTTCGACGCCTTGCCTGAAAGTGGGTAGAAAAAGGGAAGCAAAGATCTGATGCAACTCTTACGGTCTTATGTTCGTTTTGAACACACACACACATACATACATACATATATATATATATACATATGTTGTTTTGAAATATCATAGGACTTTTTTATAAGTATATATATATATAACCTTGCAATACGTTTGTGGGGGGGGCAAGTAGCAGGCCCGTACGAAGCTTCTGAGATCCAGACCACCATAGCAAGCCTTTGCGAGGTCTACAGTCTTCGGTCGAGAAAGCGGGCACATTACTGTTTCTTAGGAGCGATGAGCCAGACAGCACCAGCATGGATTTGACTTCTGCGTTGCTTAGTTGCGCATCTATACAAGGTTGGCCGTCCACATTGCCATTGTTGCTGCTCTCACTGTTTTTGAGCTCCGTGCTGCGTGATTTACATTGTCGCCAGTACCAGTACTATCAGTAGCCGTTCGAGCAACAATCTGGATGGTACGATCGCCGTGGTTATCATCATCCATTGGCAACGACAGCGCCAGCAACGACCACAAAAAACTACGGTGGATGACGCTGCTGTCAGTGTTGCTACTGTCGCTGGCACTCTTAGCCATAATGCGACTCCTCTCGTCCCGGTTCTTACGACACATGCCTTTTGCCACGATGATGGACCCCTTTCGAGACCCCTACCAAAAAACCATGGAGCCCTCTGGAAGGCCCCTTGAACCTCTAAATACCCAGAAAACCCCACAAAGCCACGAAGACCTGGAACAAAACGAAGACTTAGCAACAGAAGAAGAAGCCTCAAAGGCTCTCTAAAGTCTTAAACCCTAAACTCCTAAATGGTGGGGGTGTCTAAAATAGGGACCCTTTTAGGGTCCGTTTTAAATAAGGGTGCCATACTATTACATTGGGGGCCCAAAAAAGGGACCTTAGTTTAGAGAACTACCCAAAAGCCCTGCCGAGTCATGCGAGGCGATGCTCTGGGTGGACAAACATCGCCCGAAGACGCTGGAGGAGGCTCCGCGCCGAAAGCTTCGGTGGGTCCGAGCAGGGGGCCCGAAGGATCAGTAAAATAGGGTGGGGTGTTAGGGTTTTGGGTGTGGGGCTTTAGGTTTTAGGGTTTAGAGAGCTCTGGGAGGAGCAGGCCCGAAGGATCAGACATATGGGTCGTTCTCTAAAGCAGGGTCCCTTTTGGGGTGCCGTACTATATTTGGGGACCCCAATAAGGGACCCTAGTTTAGAGAACTGCCCATATAGGGTGGGGTGTTAGGGTTTTCGGTGTGGGGCTTTGGGTTTCAGGGGTTAGGGTTTTAGGGTTTAGGGCTTTAGGGTTTTAGGGTTTAGGGTGCCTTTAAAGGGTTTTTTTAAGGGTGATTACAAAAAGGGTTCTGTGATAAAGGGGTCTGGATCATGGTTGTTAGAACAGGTGGTTTGCCTGGGGTTGTAGTAACTTTAGTAGGCTGTACAAGGGTTTTCTGGTGTCATTACCACTATAGGGCTCCTGTTAAAAGGCTCCTCAATGGGTGTCTATAAGGGTTCGAAAAGGGTTCTATAGTAAAGGGGCCCGGAAAAGTTGGTAATATTTTTCTTGTGGTGTTTTCTTATAGAACAAAAACACACCCCCCAAATACTACTCTAGTTTCTGACAGACCCTTTTCTGAAGCTTCCCCGAGGTTTAGGCTTTGGGGTTTTAGGGATAGGGATTTAGGGTTGAGTTCAGGGCATAGGGTTTAGGGTGGAGTTTAGGGTTTACACTTTGGGGTTTTAGGGATAAGCTGCAGAGATGTATATTTTTAGAGGTGTTCAATGTCATGTTGGGCATCCGTTCATAAAATGGTTACTGACGTTAAGAACTGAACTGATTTGCCTAGTTCTTCAGCGCTCCGGGTTTTAGGTTGGAGGGCATCCGTGGTTTGGGGTGTAGTGTCGACGGTTTCGGAGTTTGCTCTTTGTTCGAGACTCCCGTAAAGGTAGTAGAGAAGCTAGTATGATATACCCCAAAACCCCAATTGGGTGTAAAGGGTGTTGATGCTCCAGAATGTTTGCTGCTTGTGTGGTGTTACTTTAGGGCCCCGAGAATGACTGAGCCTTAAGGACACGTTTTACTGATACATTGCATACTATATCATATGTCATACTATGTGTTATAGTGTACAATATCTGAAAATGGTCCTTTATCTTCTACTTCAATCATTTATAGGTTAAGGGTCTGAGACATTGATCACATCGTCCCCTTATGGCCCTTCTCTATCCCCCAGTGCAGCATACGCCACAGCCTGACCTATTTCTTGAGGCCCCCTTTATGTTTTGCGATAGTTATTAGCTGGTAACCCACGAGAGAGACCAGGCATTCCTCAGCGACTGCACGAACCGCAGGGTTTGGGCTGGGGTGCGGTTGGCGAAGCTCTCTACTTCTTGCCAAGCGCATCAAACCTAAACCCTAAACTCTAAACCGTCCTGTGCTGTTTGGAGAGGTGCTGTGTGTCAGGTGCCCTGGTAACCATAAACCCTAAACACACCCTAAACCCACCCCAAACACCCCAAGCCCCAAACCCCAAACCCGTGAGGATGGCAGGATCGCAGTGAGCTCGATAGCTGCTAAGATATCTTGAGACAGGCCTCCAGCCCTGCCACAATCTCGGTTCCGCCTTATCCGAATCTCTATGTTAAAGCTTAACAGGCCTAATACAAGTATTGCTTTGGTGGTTCCTTGATATAACTATAGTATCAAAAAACCCAAAACCCTAGTCTAATCATTGAGGCCCCTATATTCGGTCCCAAAACCCAGCTCAGAAGCCCGAACCCCCATAGAAGCCATAGTACAACCCGAATGGCGCCCTGTTCAAAACCCCCGCAAGCCCTCGTAACACGTGAAAGCTCCATAGAAACCACCTTGAAACCCCTAAACCTCCAAACCCAAGCCGCTAAAAGCCAAAAAAAGCCACTGTACCCGAGGACTCCGTCTCTACTCCAAGCCCTCTTCTCAAGATTCAGGCCCCTGCATTAAATCAGCCCCCGACATCCTAGATCCCTAAATCCTAAACTCTGAAGCCCCTAAATGCTGCCACGCAACCCCAAACTGGTGTAGGGTTCAGGGTTTAGGGCTCCTAAATCCTTACACCCTCAACCCAAAAATGTGCAGTTGGACTACCACAGCGGCCTCAATGAGCGCCTGAAGCGCATCGCTGGCAGCGGGCCGGGCAAAAAGCTGGGGATGTTCGTTACCGTAAGGATCCCCCAAAAGGGATCCTTTAAGGGTTACTTTACAAGGATCCCAATATAGGTTAATCTAGGGGCTCCCAGAAGGGGGTAGTAGAATGAGGGTTCCTATAGGAGGTACTGTAGGCTTCCGGGTTACTTTCAGGATTCCTATCAGGGCCGCTAGATTCGGGCATAGGGTCTTGGGGGCTTCAGGGGTACTATAAGGGTTTATGAGGTTCATCGAGGTTCCTGTCAGGGTTTGGAAGGCTTGGATACAGGAAGATTGCGACACAACGGTCTTACAAGGGAATTGTAGGGGAGTATAAGGGCGCCAAGCTCGCGATGTTGATGATTGGTCGCAGGTCTACGGTTGTTTCAGGTTTTAGTCAGGCTTTTGGCAGGCGTTGATAGCCCCTGCGCTTGAAATCGCTCGAAAACCACGGTCAGGGAGATGCCCCACCTCCTGATATGCGGACCCAGCGGCGCCGGCAAATCGACACGCCAATGCCTCAACCAGCATGTTTCAGGATTCCCCAATGTTGTTCGTGGTAGTCGTCGTCGTGATTCGACTGCCACAACAGCGATGCTGGTCTCTGCCTATTGCTGCAGTTATGAGGTTGTACAGGGTCTGTGGTTGCTACGATGACGACGACAGTGGCCGCGACGACCACAGCGACAGTGCCAACTCCTACCACTGCTGTACAGTTTCCTGCAGCTGCTACTGCCACTATTTCTACCACGACTGGTGCTTATCCTTCTGACTCTAGTCCAATCCTAGGGTCCTTTAAAGCCGGATCGTCCAGGCCGTGAATATGCTCGGTGCCAGAGGGCACCCCCTGACGGAGGCCCCGCTTCATCTGAATCCTAGGCTGAGGTCCACGATGACGTACAATGCATTTGGACCTGCGGTGCATCTCTACGATAAGCCTGGCAAGAGGATCTGGAACATCAATCAATCATTCTCAGGCTTTCGTACATTTCGATGAGCGGGAGACAGTCAAAAACTTTGGCCAAATCCCTAATCATGACCCCACCACGCACTTCAGGTAAAGCTCCAGTCGTCAACTTCGTAGTGACATTGGTGTTGACACTGCCCGTGATAGCTCTGACCCGCTCACAATGCAAACTGCCCCTCGCCAGCATCGACTGTACTGAACAGCTTCCGCTAAGCAAACTGCGGAAGATCCCAAAGCCCTGTCATAACCTTAACAGCTTGGTGTCCCCTGCCATCAGACCAACAGTACGCAGCTTTTCTGAAGCATTCGGACACTTCTTTGGCTTCACCAACCAAGCCAACTGTACCTCCGTCCACTCCTCCGGAATCTGAGTATCATCGCAGCATAATGCGCTGAGCCTGTGTAGCGATTAGCTGCGCGTGCATCTTCCGGTTCCGCAGGAGGGGTGACTGATTTGGCGCGGCTTTCTCGGTTTTAACCCGTCGAAAAACCCGTCGCCAGCTGTCCAGCACTAGCATCCCCTGCGGTACCCTCAACAAGACTGTCGGCTCGGTATCCTGGGCCTCAAACAGTCCGTCAATACTTCTCCGTTCATGAGCTGGCCCTTGCTGTCCCTGAGTCGATGTTTTTTGGTTATGTTTGTTGGGGCACAGCAGCCGTAGCACCCTAAACCCTAAACCCTAAACCCTAAACCCAACCGCAATACGCCGCACATTTTTCCCGTAGATCGTTGCGCACCGCCGCCTCCTCCGCTTGAGCAGCTCCGGGGCTCTTTGTGGCTTTCGATCTCTCTGGGAGCTTTCTTAAGAACCCCCTGTGTCTTAAAGAGAAGCCAGACGAACTTTGGAGCACCCAAAAAAAAGATCAAAGACGAATCCAGAGCCTAGAAGCCTCTGCAGCACACTCAATCTGCGTCGCAGCTGCCATCACCCTCGAGTCTCCCCAGTTCAGGTTGCAAAGGCTTCGCTGGCGCAATGGCTCCCGCCTGTTGTACCGCCTCCCGTAGCTGTTTCACACCGGGCATGTCCACCTGCTCTTGCATCAGCCTTAGCGCAGTATCGTCCATCTTGATGACCTGCTGTCCCTCCGCAGCTCGTTTGCTCCGTGGCATCCACCGAAACGGTATAGAGCCTACCACAGGAAGATGACCCTGGTGCGCCATCCTGCCATGCATAGCTCTATGCGTCTCGTCTGTTTCGATCCCCCGACACTTCCTGTCTTGCGCAAACAACGTCGATCTGACTCTGCCCGCGAGCATGCATGTAGCTCGCAGCTTTGGCCTTCTTATCTTACCCCACAAGTTCAATGCAGCCAGTTTATGTCTCCGTAGAATCTGCATCAGCCCTGGTCCTCCTTTTCCTTGTCAGTCAGCTCACTATCCAGCACACTGAAAGCACTCATCTTGCTCTCTCGCGGCAAAGAGGTGTTGAAGCCCCCAGCCACTATGATGTGGCATCGGGCCGGTAGAGTCTTAGAGAGCCCAACAGGGAGTCGAGTTTCTGCAGCAGCTTGTGCCTCTGCACCAACACACTCTCGGTTTGTCCCGCTTTCTGCAGATAGGAAAACTGATAGAAACCAATCACATCCACTTGCTGCTGTCCCAGGAAACATCTGACTTGAATTATCCGCCCCGGCTCCGCTTCGTGCCATCGAATCCTTGTGGAATCCGCTAGCTCCCGTTTGACCCCCACCAAGATGCCTCCTCTAACTGTTCTACCTGTGGTAGACTGGCAAAAATGCCATCCATCAGCAGACCACTCAGCACTATAATCCGAGTGCCTGTACCACCGGGATACTTATGTCCTGCTGCTCTTGTAGAGACAGCCACTGCTTCAGCTCTGTCAACAATACTGCCGAAAGGGCTCCCGCCTTCCACGAAACAAAACGAATTCTAGGTTTTTCGCTCAGCGCTGGCTTCTCGATCGGCAGCAACGGTGCGTCCAAAGCCAAGCGTTTACCGCTGTACATAGTTGATCCTTGCAGCTGCGCACTTCTTACAGCACGCTTGAAAGCTTGTTTGCGAATCCGTGAAAACTGCACGCTCTGAGTTTTCATGACTGCTTCTCTGTTCCTCCCTTGTCCCAGGACCTTCTAGGGAGCTACGACCGCAGGTTTGAACCACTCACAGCGCTTTGCTGCTGCTGCTAGTACTACTACTACTACTACTACTACTACTGCTGCTACTGCTACGGCTAGTGACGAGGACGACGACTGCGAGTACTGCTTCGACTCCCACTGTGACCATGACGGCTAGTGCTCTTGCTTGTACTACTTTTCGCAAACTCCTGCATGAGCTACAACATCCCACATATCACACGCCGTCCTATCCACTACAACATGACTTTTTGGGTTTTGCCCCTGCGCCAGTGCAATGTAGAAATTAGGGCAGCAGTGGAACCGTGGGGAGGTTCAAAGTGATGCAGGAGTTGGGCTTCAACCATTTTAATGTGACGATTTCAGACTTTTCGTTCTGTGGCAGTACAAACATCAGGTTCTTGTGAATGTTTGTGGCAGTACCAACACTAGGCTCTTGTGAATGTTTGTGGATGTAGTCTACCACAGGGCATGTCTGTACAGCGATGCTTAGATATATTTAGATATGTATGCATGTAAGGCCTTATGAGTTCTTGACTTGCAAAATCAGCACGCCACATGCACCCATCACGCCGGCCAAAGCTGGAATGCAAAAGCGCCCCCAACCCATTTGGCATGCACCCTTTCGCATGCATATCTGCAGTGATTAGAACGCCGTTAGCTTAATCCCAGACCCCAAACCCTGCGCCCGGCACTCTCTTTCGTGAATCATCTTTGAAGCAGGGGAGATCTCAAATCCGAAGACTGCTGAGGTGTCCATGCCCTGCTCAACGCCCTCTACGGCCCAGGTGTAGAGACGGTGAAGGCCGTTTGAGACACATCTCGCATTGAAATCTTTGCATCCTAAACAGCCGCCATCTTATCCCGTGCTGCTGAACCCTGGTATCCTGGCGCTCTTGTGTAGTATTGGCCTAGGAATCCATCGGCCGCTTACTCCTTTCAAGCTTGTGCCATGTGGCCATGTGCGAAAGGAGAACGGGTTGTGGTACGGTGCTACATACTGATAGACCTGCATGCAGTGCCACTCAGTGCAGGTGGAGACAAAAACAGTGGCTCCAAACCCCAACACGCCCTCGAACACGGTGGACATCCAGGCAAAACGGGCAAGCCGGAAACTCTGCGTGTACATGCTCTTGGTTTGACAGGGGTCGTGATGTCGCTTGTTTGCCTCCATGGTAGGTCGTCGTAGTGCCACAGCATAGAACAGAGAAGCACACAGGCATGCACATCCACGGGCACATGTACATAAACATATACAAATTCAATGACAATACATCCATCGAGACAGAGACGTGTTACTCATACAGATGGATACCCATGTGCAGTTCTCAATGTATATAAATATTGTTGCTGTATGAGATGTTTCTGTTGGCGAGCCTGTTGGTATGTCTTGCGCAGACCCAACATGGAGGTTTTCACATGGACGCAGACAGCGCGAACTAGGAACTGTTTGCCTACATGCGTACAGAAGCAAACATAAGTGCACATGCATACATATGTGCATGTCTGCAAGTATATGTACGTGCGCACATAGATACAGTACTTCATCATTCAGAGCCTGGGTGTGCTGAATCTCGGCCCACTGCACAGACATATTAGTGTATATTCACACACATGTGTGTGTGTACATATAGTTTAAAATTTTATGCATGCAGATATACATATATATATATAAATATATATATATATGAGTGTCCCCATTGTATGTATGTGTGTATGTGTATATATATATGTATGTAGATATGCTTCAGGATTTAGGGCTTGCGGTTTGAGGTATACGTGAATATACTGTACAGATAGAACTCTGGGCCTGCACCCGGCAAGGCTCACGATTTATTATGCACGCATGCGGAGAATGCTTATGCCCTAGTGAACGCAATCAGGAAACCAGCAGCACACAGCGATCCTCATACGTAGTTCTACATACATCTCATGTATGTATGTTTGTATGTATGTATGTGTATTTATAGGTTCTCGCATGAACCTTCGTCTTACTGTCTGAATGTTGGAATCAAAAAGGATAGATAAATTGGATAGATGAGTTGTCAGTGTAGGTAGGTAGACAGACAGATAGACAGTTGAATAGACAGACACCGGGATAAAGAGACAGATAGGTAGGTATGTAGGTAGGCAGATAGGTAGGTGGGTAGGTAGACAGGTGGGCAGAGTGATATACATATATGTATACATGCACAGGTATATGGTGTATGCCTGTATGCAAGCAACCAACAGAACAAAAAAAGCAAAAAACAGACGTTGAAAGTGAACAAGCAAAGCCCGTACACACATACACACGCACATAAGCATATGCATGCATACATAATACATACACACCGAAATATATATATATATATATACATATATATATATACATATATAGGTATATGTGTATGTAAATTTATTTATGCGTTTATATTGTATATACATACCATTCATGCATGCATGCATGCCTGCAAAGATGCACACATCATATTTGTACACCTGGTGCAGCTATATCCTGTATGTACATGGCGTGTGTACTCATTCATCTGTACACATTTGCAAACAGAACACCGCAGCAGAATTTCTGGTCTCAAACACGCGTGTGTCCTGGAGGTTCTTCCTCTGGAAGGCATTGTCACATCCGTGAAAACATAGCGGTATGTCTCTAGCATAAAAGCCCTCGGAACCCTAGTCTGATTGTTTGCAGCTCTACCATGGATGAGCAGTCAGGGGAAGAGTACCCGTAGCCTCCACTTGGGGTTCTTCAGGTGTTGTCTTCTACCCATGTGCACCTTGATCAGTCGCATGCTTCCTCTTGTGGAAGATTGTTGCGCCGATCCATGGCCAGCATCTCGTTCAAGTGCAGCTTGTGTTGCTTGGCGGTCGCAGGCCTCGTCGGCCTGTCTGCGGTGATCTGGTTTGGATTCCTTTGTCAAGGCGATGAATGCAACATTGTCTTCTTCTGGCAGTTCCTGCTTTCGCCGCAGCTTCCACTGATCCATCATTACCGCTCGCGCAGCTATGAAGATTTCATGTTCAAGTTCACTGGAAGTGGATGGGACCGCAATTTTCAGGCGGGAGAGATCGGCATAGATGTAGGTCGAAACGAGACACGGGAGGATTTGTCAAAGAAGGCCTTCCGGATCAGGGACAAGACAGGGTATCGCGACACGACTGCTCTGAGACTCGTTCCAAAGCTTGCTGAAATCTCCAATCTTAGTATTCCGAAGCGGCTGAGCCGCTTCCATGCCAGGGGACACTGCGTCATGGGGTTTGCAAAGCCGAACCAGACGGAGTGCAGGCAGTTCTTTTTGGTGGCTATCGTCAGGGTGGTGGAGCGTGAGGAGGTCTATATCGAGCAATGGATCAACTTGCACAGTGCTGTGGGTGTGGATCATTTTGTAGTACTTTCCGCTAACACAACATTGCTGCATGCGGCCTTGCAGCCGTTCGTTCAGGCTGAAATCGTAGATGAAAGGCTTTTTGTTGAGGGACCCTACAAGCAAAATGCTATCGCGAATTTGGGACTGTCCTGCTTTTGGATGATTTTCATTGACTTGGATGAGTACATATTGCCACCGCCCCCGCATGAAAGCTTGAAGGACACCTGAAGCTTGGACCCCTAGCTAGTGCCTTTGCTGAGGTTGCTCCGTTTGTTGCAGATTGGGTCTATATTCAACAAACATTGGTCCCAAGACCCTATTCTGAAGGTTAGGGCCCCTAGAGAAAGCGGCAACCTAGGTTCATTTCCCTGCAGGACTTCCTGCTGCCCCTGACAACGGTCCGTCCAGACCGCCGAAGCCCCAAGCAGATCATGGTCTTCTACAAATACTTTGGATCCAATGGCTGGGTGAAGAGGCCCAAGGTCCCTGATATTGAGGCCTACACCGATCGTGACCGACCACTGCAAGTCAATGGCAAAAGCCTAGAGTTGATTGACGCCATCAACGTGTCAGACCCATTCACTGGATATCCACACAGATCCAGCTTACTGCAAGAGTTTCGCCACGACTCGGCCACCTCGATTCTGATATTCAACTCGTGGATTCTCTGGGTTGATACCATGTGGCATCCCGTCATATGCCCCCGCGACGAGCTCACTTGGCCAGCCGGCGGGGACGTTAGCTTAGCAAACATCGTGCTGGGCATCTGTAGTCTTGCTGCTCTTCTTTGTCTCTGCAGCTGTTCGAGGCTCAGCTGAGGGACTCATCCAAGAGATGTGTCCGATGCCCTAGTGCCTGGATGGCATTGCGAACCTCAGCAGCATCTGACGCGGAAGTACTAAGTTGTGTCTGATCCCACGAAAGCAAAAACTGCCCGGCCGGACATGGGTTTCGGCAGTTCCGGAGCACAGGACACCCGAACAGAACTTTGAAACATCGGCTCCTCGACACGAGATGACCCTCCGCATAGGTCCTTCGAGGTTGCTTGCTTTGGGGCTTCCATGGCTCAGGTTTCGAGGTTGGAAGAGATCAAAAGCCGAGCCTGCTCCTACAGTGTCCCGATGTTCCGCCTCTTAAAACGGCTTTAGCATGATGCAGTACCGTACTCGGTCGCCGTATCATGCCACCACAGCTATCATCACGATCCCGAGCTTTCTTGCGAAGTGCTGGAAGCCGGGGGTTTGTTGCTGCTAGCACAAGCAGTTTAGAGCTTAGCGTTTGGGGTTTGGTGCTCGTCATTGAAAGCAGCCCTTCAGAAGGATGGCCGCTGACACATCTTACTTGCATCTTGGCAAGGAGCCTTCGTTTCGGCTGTAGCATAGAGGCTGAAGACTGTAGTACGCAGACTCGGTGTCTTGTTATTGGTGTTATTCTGATTAGTATTATGATTATTACAATTGTTGTTAATATTTTTATTACTATTATTTTTAATGATATGATTATTATTATGATTATCATTACTACTATCATGTTTATGATTATGATTATTGTTATTATTATTAGTATTGTTATTATTGTTATTATTCATATTGTTCTTATTATTATTCTTATTATTAATATTATTACTATTGTTGTTGTTATTCTTATTATTGTCATTATTATTATTGTTATTACTATTATTATTACTATTGTTCTAGTCATATTGATGTCATTTTTTATTATCATTGTGAATAGGGCCCCTTACACCTCTGCAAAGCCCCCAAGAACCCTCGTCTATTCCGGCCCAACCGCAGCTTCCGCGGATGAGGTAGTTCCAGTAATCTCAGTTCTGGGGTCCTGAAATATCATCCCACTTACAGATCCTACGGTTGATGATAAAGACCTTGCAGTACCCAGAATAAGGAATATACTAAGACTATAATTCCCATACTTTAGGGTCCTTAAGGTAATGCAGGATTTATATCATCAACAGTCTGGATCTGCATTCTGATATGCCCTGAATTACCATGGGCCTTCATCTTCGAGGTGCCCAGAGATTGAGAGCCCAACGCTCCTCAGGAACCTACTTGGCTTCTCGTTCTTTCTACTAAACCCCAAAACCCTAAACCCCAAAGCCCTAAGCCCATGAACCCTAAATCCCTCAAGCCCTAAAACCCTAAACCCCTAAACCCGAAAAGATTCTAGGAGTTTGCCTTGAGCTTGGGCTTCTGTGGCTCTCTGGGGCGAGTAGAAGCAAACTGTAATGGTTTACTGCGCTTTGGGTTCAGGCTTTAGGGGCTTTAGGGTTTAGGGCTTAGGGCGTTGGGTTTAGGGTTTAGGGTTTGGGGTTTAGGGTTCTAAAGCCCCCAAGCTCTAAAATTAGCAAGCCGTGTTCAAAATTGAGCTGCAACCTTGGAGGCAGCCTTCTAGAGTGAACCCTAAACCTTAAACCCCTACCTACCCTTATGGAACCGTAGACCCCAATTTCAATGATGCCTCTGCCACAGGTGGTGACGTCCAACTACCACCTGCAGGTCACGCCTGCCGACCTTGGCCGCAAGGACCTCCATGTTTGTTGGAGCCTTTTGGGGCCCAGAAGAAGAAGCACTTAGTTAGGCCCGAAACTTTCGGGTCTAGGGAAGAGGGACGAGAGCGGCTTTTCGGGTTCAGGGTTTAGGGTCTGGCAACTCAGGGTCGAGGGGGGTTGTATGCTCGTAGGCTTCAGGTTGGGGCGTTTGGGTAGCGTCTGGGAACCCCAAAAGAGCGCTGGCTCGGACGATAAAGAGGCAAAAGAGACTGAGACACGCCGGCATGCAGGTCTGGGTTTGGGGTTTCAAGCACTCTGCGGGGGGTCGCTGTGAGACCGTGAAGCCATCCTGCACGTCCCTTTACTAGTTTAGGGCTTATTTTTAATTTTATTCCTATTATTATTTTGATTATCATTACCATTACTATTATTAATTTTTATGACTACTAGTATTATTTCCATTATTGTTATTATTGTTTTTATTCTTAGTCTTATTCTTCGTATTATTATTCTTATTCTTATTATATATATATATAGAGAGAGAGAGAGAGTATAATATACCCCCCAAACCTAAAAACGGACTGCTTTAGAGCCCTAAAACCCGGAAGCTTCCAATCTGATCTCTATGGGCAGTTCTCGAAATTAGGGTCCCTTTGAGGCTGCGTTGAAGGGTGCTGCACTTTTTAGGGTTTAGGGTATTTTGGGGACCCAACATAGGGACCTTTAATTTCGAGAACTACCCATATAGATGCTAGATGAGAGGACCGACCCCCTAATCTTAGACGCCTGGTTTAGATTGGGATTTGCAAACCTCAGCTTGTATCCTGGCAGGATCGAGCAGTCGTCATGCAGTTGATCAAAGAGGCGTGCAATTCCTTAGATGAGTAGACGTTGGTATAAGCCCCCACAAACCCTGTTCTAATCTTTTCTGTCCTACATTACGACCCCAAAGTTAGATGGCGAGGGCGGGGTCATCTGCAAGTTCATTTTACGGCCTTGTTCAGGGATTTCATGTTTCTGATGTGTCAACGTGTGCATTCAGGTGGCCGCAAGGATTTTCAGGTGATGCTTTCGGGTTTTGGTTATAAAGGTGTTCTCGTGGGCTTGTAGCTGTCCATCAGTTTCGTGGGTGCTTGAAAGTGAATACATAATTTATGGAAGGGTGCGGTGTTTTAGGGTTACTTCCCAAATAGGTTTGTGAGCTTGCGCCCCGTAACTTGTGGTGCTAAACCGCTGCCACTACCCCGAGCAAAGTCTTTCCACTCCCTACAGCCCCAAAATGAATTACCAGCAGAATCCTATGACGTCCATAAATGAAGCCCACAAATACGAAGCTTTTTTGTTGCTAGCACAAAGCCGTAGAAAACCTACGATGCCAGAGTCGAGCCACAGTTTTCCCAAGAAGCCTTGAAGAGGGGATCGAGATCTGTTGCCAGGTGGCCTCCCACACCAACTTGGGCACTCATGGCTTCAAGGCCAGGGCTCAGGAGGGCGCGCGACCTGATTAAGAGACCGCTGGCTTTGATGTTTAAAAAAGGCGCGCAGGGCCGGGACCGAACATTCTTTGTGCAGCCTCCTTCGACAATCAGCTTTCATCAAGGTACACACATTGAGGGGTCGTCCGATTATAGAGATGAGAGCCGGCTTAGTGTTCCGGGTTGCAAAGGGTGGTTTAAATCCTGCATTACCCAATCATAAGGAATATACCATATTCCTGTAGTTTATGGTCCTTAAGGTCTGCAGGGAGTATATCATCAACAGTATCATTCCTCACGACTTCGTGGTCATTGCCCAGTTCAGGTAGTCGTCATCGAGGAGGCAGGAGCACTGTCTTCAGACGCCCAGGCAGACGGCTTCGGCAAAGTTGTGTCTCTGTGTGTGTGTGTGAGTTGCGGTCGACTCGGATCTCTCCAAAGCTTGACATTGTTTTGCCAGTTTACAAGCCAAAAGGCTAAAAACCAATCAGCATAAAAACGCTCAAATGTTAAACCAACAACCATTAAACCATGAGACCACTGTTTCATCAGCCAGTCCGGTCCTTGACTGAGTCAGATACTGTGCAAGTACGGGTTTTGACGTTCAGTAGCTCAACACGGCATTGCATCCAAATGTACGGCGGAGCGTACACTCGCAGACCAACTAGAGGCTGAACAACAACATGCGATACAATGGAACAGCAGCAATGTCAACACTAAAAACATACCACAGCCCATTATGGGTGCAGCCAGAGATGCCAGTACTTTATTGCGGGGCTGCGTTTCACTCAACAACTACAGTTCTGTGCCAAGTTGCGAGAGAAGGCAATTTTGGAATTAGTCGTATCGGTAGAATATGGTGTCTGCCTGTATGTCATCCGCGGATACATGCAAGTGAACACATCCCTGCATGTATGCAAACATCGTTCAAGGGTATTTGCTTTACGCTGCATATCTTGATAAAACGGAGTATGCATTGCTTGCAGCAGGGTAGCCGGCCAGATTTAGCAGCGGCATACTGGTAGCATAGAGCAATATACCAGTCAGACGATTCTAGCTTGCGCTTAACATGGAAGGAAGAGCATGTACCGGAACATGACAACCGTGTAGAGAAGAGAGTGGCGCAGACGCCCGTGCAATGAAGGATGTGCACTTGCATTTCAGTAGCGCCACTGTTTCGATGTGGGGTTTACAGCTAAGAGTGGACGCTCTGGCTATGAAATGCGAGTCATACCTGTGATTATAGCTAGGAATGTTCTGTGAAAACCTGGGGGGGAAAGTGCTCTTGGGTGCAATCGCCCGCGACTCAACCACTGACCTTCTCCGCAAACTTGCCAGGCGGCTCTCCGTCGCACAATGGAGAGGTACATGAAGGCGCCTCCGAGAGAGCTTATCTAGGACTGTTTATATTCGGGCTGCCGTTCCGCCCTGTGCGAACCCACCATGCCTTTGCCGCACTCCCAGGTGTTAATGTGCATGTGCTGTGGGCACTTCTTTGTAGGGTTTTGGGGTCGCTGAGGGGTTTGAGCGGAAGGTCAGAAAATGTATGTTGAGCATGGCTAAAGGTCCACGGGAGTTAATGCTTGCGGCACCTCGAAGTGGATGTCGTGGCACGTTTAGATTCTGACGTCCAAGATTTCTGCTGCCACTCCAGACTTGCCGCATCATTCTCCTTACCGACAGCGCCTCCAAGATCATCCCTCCGCTCAGGACCCGAAAGTGTGGGAGTCTTCAGGGGTTTGTGCGTACGATCTTCAACTGAACAAGAGGAGGTTTCTCAAGAATTTGCGTGAACCCCTTACAACAGGTGGGAGGGTTCTTATTATCACCAGGCTCC